CTGAACTCAACCAAGCCAAGGGCTCTGAGCCTTCTGATAATAAACCAAAGGTTGAACAGGAGGTGAAAAGTGAAGGGTCTGGCAAGGAAGTCTCTGTTCCTAGTGGTGTTCCTTTGACCCGTCAAGGTGCCTTGGATTCTTTCGAGGAGCTTGATCCACTTGCGTTTGACCCACAGGATGATGTGTTGACTGGACCAGCCGCTGAACTTAAGAGTGAACCAAAGGTTGAATCCCAGGAGCCGGTGGATGTGAACCTTGGGGGTGGGGAAGGGAGCACGTCCCAGGCTGGGAGTTCTTCTCAGTCTGGTGGTGTTTCTCGACCTGATTCCCTTGGTAGCTACCCTAAGGCATCTGTTGGAGTCAAGCGAAAATGGTCAGAAGAGGATCTCATGATTGAGAAAAGAGGTCTGAAGCGGGAACCTGATGTGGAACTTGCGGAATTGGATCGGGAGGTCAGGGATAACAACAAACGTATTGATGTAAAACCTGACATTGCTGGACTTGTGTCTGGCTTGACATGTGATTCCTCGTTGTCTGAGACCCCCATCAATGACTTGCACGAAGTGTATGCGTTGGCTTTTCTCACAACTGACTCGGATGACCTCATTTGTCACTTGCCTCTTGCTTCGTTGAAGTTTGACAAGAATGCCTCCAGTTCTGTTGTTTCGTTTGGTGACAAGCGTATTCGGATCTGGTGTCCCAGTGGCTCCATTGATGATTCAGCATTGGAGGAGTTGCCTGGTGACTTGACTCTTGATGGTATGAAAACTGAAATAGGCAATTTGGATTGCATGCAATGTGGTGACTTGATAACTGAGTCCGAGATCGGTGACTTGAGGAAGCAATGCAGGGTTATTCCATCTCGATGGGTGACTACTCGCAAGAATGCGACTTTGGTTCGTGCTCGGATTGTCTTGAAAGACATTGCAAAGGGTGCTGCATCAGCCCGGTCACTCGGAATATCGTCACCCACTCCCTCGAGTGAAGCGTTGTTTGCCATGTTGTGCTTTGCTGGTCAACGAGATTGGCTGGTTGGGGCAGCTGATATATCGGCGGCTTTTATGGCCACGCCGCTACGTTCCCGGAATGTGATTGCCAAGTTGCCTGCAAGCATC